ATAAAAAAGTAGGCTTTTAGTATGTGCATGGATAGAGAGGAACAGCTGATATTAAGGGCGAGGAATACACCTGGCAATCAGTTGATTAGGTTCCGTAAATGTGATGGATTGATTACTACAGCTCTTCATATTGGCTGCCTGTGTACAGTAAGGTTTAACCCGAACTGCTGAAATTAAGTTTCAGTGTGAATTTAAGACTGCTGAATGACAAGCCTGGCTTATTTTCACCGGAACTGAGTTGTAGGAATAAGTTGTTTTAGTAGTAGAAAACACTAGTGGAGTAATTTGAGTAAATCGTCATACTCTTAACATACATATGTTGTATCTCTCAATTGTATTAAAAATGTCTGTAGCACAGCACTGTAGATCATATCCTCTAATCTTCATTTACTATATAGTACCAATTACATTTACTGTATATGCACTTCATTTACTGTATATGTTAGCCTAGGCTATGCAAACACATTTAGTGAACTACATACAGCAAAGTGATTCTAGTAACAGGAAACATATGTATCAGTAGCAAAAACCATTAATTCATTAACAAAGGCACATTTATATACAGTAAATTATTTGTAAATAATTAATCTCCAGCTTGTCTTTGGAAGGCAAAATGAAACAGAAAGAAGAACAGGAAACCCTGTGAAAGAGTTGAAATAGTTCAACTCTTTTGGTCATATTCTGATTGAATTTAAAATGTTTTTTAAATTCCAATCAAGCAAAACCAATTCCAGACCTCCCTTGTTACTTTTAACAGGACAAAAAACCCTGTAGACCAACACGAGTTGTTCTGTAATAAAAGCACCCTAATTAACAGATGCAAACAAGTCAAAATCTGTTAAATAATGTTAGTGCAATTTTTAGCTAACATTTCTGTGCTACATAATTCTTAATGGCTTCTAGTTAAGTTATGACATTAGACACCTCAGAATGCTCAGACATTATGTGACAATTCATGATGACCTGTTTAAAAAATGCATAATTCTACTTTCCGTAAGCATGATCTGATTTTAAAATGAACTGACAGTTTTTTTCCTTGGCAAGCATTTCTGAGGGGAAGGGCGCTCATTCTTCTTCTGGAGGGGTTACAAGATGTTAAACAAAACAAATTCCTCCCCATCACCGCAAATACTGCCTTCCAAAGATATGTTAAAAACAAGAAAACTGATAATTTGAATTTAGAATTAGAAGACAAACTCCTTGCACCAGTATTTGTGATTTTTGAAATTGCAGATGTGTGACGATACAAGTTCAGCTCATTCTGCATCAATTCCCTTTGTGTATCTGCAAAAATGCTTCGGGTTCGCCTGCAGGCAAAGATTGCTTCTTCTGCTTCCAACAAAGAGAAGAACAATATGAGGTTATTCCAAAGTGAAATTATTGTGGCACTTCTGTACTTTTACTCTGTGATTACTTTTTGTTAAGGTGTCTAATGGTTGTAACATGTCTTTCCTGTGATTAACTAATCCAGAGAACTATCATGGTAAACTTTAGTGTATGTTTCCAGGAATGTCTACCACTGTACCGCATGGCTCAGTGTAGTTAAAGACAATTAAGACATATTAAAACCATAGGAAACAATGGAACCATAGGGTGAATTGTGGTGAGTGCTTAAAAGTAATATAAAAAAATAATATTGGGAGGGCCTCATAAGGGAATGCTTAAAAAATGCTTTTCCAACTGCAGAACCAAGATGAATAATGTAACTAGGATGGAAACAATCTACTGCAATAATGTTGAGGAGCAATATTAAGTGTGATAAATTAATGAAATACCTGTTTTTGTTTTATAATCTCAGTAAAACTTTAATTGCTTCACCTTGCAGAATGTCTGTCCAACAATAATAGCTTATTTGGAAAACAAGTGCTTTTTAATTTTTGGGATCCCGCAGCCGTGGCATTTTCCTGCATTATCAGATGTCCTGGCACGTTTCGTAGTTAACTCCCACAATGTTTTCCATATTAGAAGCATCCCAAGAACTGCTATGAAAACAGAAATCTGGGCAAAAGAAGGGAGAATGTGGTGAGGTGTCAGATTCATTGTGCAGGATAAGGTCGAGAAAAAATCCAGAGTTAATCTGAATTTCTCATATTTCACCAATACATGTGCTTTCCCTTTCCTGAATTAGCGAGGCATGTAATAAAAAGCGCACTATAAAACAGACTCGCTGTATCCCCCAGAGCCTCCTATTTCTTCAATAGAAATCAAATGCTTACGATCTTTATTTTAATGAAGGCTGGAGAACCCTGGCAGTGGCAGCTGGCAGGTAAGTGAGCGCTCTGCTCAATTTTTGCAGAGTTGCAGTGATGTGTGATCACCACTGCTTATCCTATTTCCTCAAGGAGATGCTCGAAGGGGTGTATTTGGATATATTTTATTCCATTTAATATCAAGATCAAGTGATGAAAAAAATCTTCAGTGAACTATCAGATTACTTCCTATGCCTCATGTAACAGAGTCCACTGTACAGAATGATCTATCGTGGCATTTTGTTTTCAACCATCTGTTATTTAACCACATGCCATCTGAAAAACACGTCTGCTGTTACAATGACCTAAAAAGTATGCTTTCACACAGTCAGGCATCCCACCCAGGGTCTGAACCCATCACCGGACAAGAATCAAGGGCCCTAACCAGGTTTTGAACCTTGACATATGTTGTGCTTAGTTATATGGTGTTACGGACCAAGGTGTCTCGGGGTAAAGGGGTGTAACATTTAGGATGGGTTTGGATGCAGGTGTTTTTCTGGTGAGGGACTGAGGAAGTGTGACAACAGAAGTGTGGTGCAAAAGTGATTTATTTTAAAGTGAATAAGTGACTGGTACATGTACAGGACACATTAACACGCAGGGAGAAGGAACTTGAGTGGTGCCAAAGGAAAGAAAAAAACAAACAAAATGGAGCTGACTAATAAAGTGAGGGGAAGCTGACCTAACTACAAAACAAAACCCGAAACATTCGGTCTTTGGCGTCTTCTAACAGCCTAGCTAACCTTCACTGACTACCCAAAACCATCCAAGACAAAAGGCACTCACCTGTCCTAAACTAGTGTTATTAATACAAAAGACCAACTACGTGTGCACACTGTACCCGACAACCTTAACTAACCCTTTACACAAAAGTTCACACAAGTACACAAGTGAACTACGAATATAAATAATGGCAAAATAAAGGATAATACAAACAAATGAAAGTACAAGTAGGAGACGAACACAAACCAACAAAGCTGAAGCTACATGGAAACACACATGAAGCGAAACGAACGAAAACGAAGAGAGACGGAGACGAAGCCGAAGCCGAAGCAAAACGAAAGCGAAATTGAAGCCGAAGCTGAGCCGGGCAGAACCGAAGTTGAGCGAAAGGCCCCTTCATTCTGGAAACCTCCAAGTTAAATACCAAAGAAGCTGAGTTCTGATTGGTCGAGAAGCTGATTACGAATGGCGTGATATGGCAAGTTGGATGAATGAATGAACCAATGGGGAGGAGAACAACCAAAGTCAGGAAGTGTGAAACATAGAAACAAAAACACACACGGACCATATTTGGACGTAACATATGGGTGCTTAGAGTTAATTCCTTCAATTACAGTTCAAGCACAGGGTCAGACTGCATTTTGTACAGGTTACCATGCATCCAATTAAGTAATTGATTGATGGTGTATCAATTAATGAGGCTGCAGCAGAGTTCACAGTGTATAAGCATATAGTTTCTGAAGATAATTATGGTGTCACTTCCTTGGACTCTGCAGTGGAAATCCACCACAAACAAGCGCTAGTGTTTGTGTGTGGCAGGTTTGTCCCCTTGGTACTTAGAATCGTAATTAAGGGGGTCGTTTTGACCCAGTAAATTATGTTGCAGATCCTTTTTGCACTTGTTCGTTTAGATGGGAACCACATTTTATCTTCTGCAGAAAAAGAATGATTCCAGGGATGGAAAAAACGTGTTGATGATCTCAGGTCAATTGGGTTTATTTGTCTGAACACTGAAATCTAAAAAAAAAAGAAAAACAAGAAAACGGAGACAACCTTAGTTGAACAGCATTTTCATACTCTCTTGTATTTTTTCCACTGGCAAAGTTTGTATGAAGAACAGATGCCTCCCTAAGACAGCTCCAAGTTAGCTCCAGTGATATACTACAGTGCACAGTTACACAACATACAAAAATCACACAACACAAATCTCCTGATCAGTGTTTTTTGCAGCATGAGAACTGTACACAGCTCTAGGTTGGTGTTGTGTAAACCTTGCTGTGTATTTCCTCTACTGGTGCTTTTTGTGACCAAATAACCAGTGAATTATCAAATTTTGATACTTTGAAGGTCAATTTAATATCGATTTGTCTGTTTGATTTTATGGTCACATTCCTTTTTAAGGTTATTGATCTCAATGTGATGGGTTTACAATGCCTATTAAAGAAATGTTTAAAAGAGTCCAGTCATGTTCATCCTGTTAATTCTGTCCAACATTTGTCCGTACTCTTTTTCATTACTTTCATTACAGCCTCAGTACACTTATAATTAACATATAATTGGAGAAATACTTCTGATTCTTAAGGTACCATTGCAGACTCCGGTCAGTTTTCATTATACTGAAACCACTCTGCCAGCTCTGGTTTCTGGAGTCTTCGAAATAGGCAGGTTGTCTGTAAGACAAGTTGTCTTCAAGTGTTTCCTGGTTTCCATTCCAGCCCCTCCTTAATTGACATAGTTATCTGCTTGCTTAGGGGTCGTTAGCATGCCTAGCATACAAAACTATTCCTGTATTTCCCGTTTGCTAACATATAATTATTTGAATTTAACAGATACTGTATGTTAAATAATAAATTAGTTACCCAAGATCTGTTAAATTACGGAGATGAATCCACAACAGACAGCTTTATTAAAAGATTAAAAGTCAGTATATAATCCTCCAGACTTTTCCTACCTGCAGTTGGCGCTGTGAAATGTGAAGAATTGTTCACGAAACTCTTGCTCTTTCTGTCTATGGTAATGCTAGCAAGGGCTCCGGGCTGCTTCCCGATTGGTGGCTGAGCGGTTGATTTCAACGTGTCACGGACCGGCAGCAAGTTTCGATCCTGCAGAACTACAGACAATAAGGAAACAAGCATCACAAACTCTGTCAGTTCAAACAGACGTGACACGTTTGCACAAAAACAGTACTCTTAACGATGGCTCAGTGTGCAGCAGCATCCCCCGGCTCTGATCTGAACAAGAAGCAGGCTTGCAGTCAGAGGAGAGTAGCTCTCATCACTGGCATCACCGGACAGGTAAGCTGCCCGTCAAATCCCAAGGAGTCAGGACATCAGGAGGATGCAGTGTTGCAGAACGGAAACGTATTTGTTGTGTTTGAATTTGTTCATGAAAAATCAGAACCGTTTTGTATTTGAGCGTTATTTCTGTCGGTGACAGACTGAAAGGAAGAAGCACGTTGGACAGCAAGTGCAGGATATCAATTGAGGCATATTCACTCTGGGGTTGCTTGGTTTGATACATTGTAGCGAGATGTTCTCGCTTTAACTTAGTGTAGTGCTTCTTCATGTCCTGGGTCATCTTCATATTTGGGGGGAATTGTGTTTTCACACTTCACACAGATCGAGGGACGCTGCATTGTTAGCAACTTCTCTTTTTTGTGTTCTTTCTGTAAGGAAAAAAATATTCCGTAGTATTTTTTAAAATCAAATCTCTATATTTCTTTCTCTCTACCCATTTCGCTCTCCTGAATATTGTTGCGTAACGCATCTGTTGTAATTCCAGCAAGACCTTTGTCTTTTCCTGAGATTCATGCATCCTGGTGTAATGCATTTCCTGTTTGCTGACGAACAGGTCGCCACCTGCTCCCCGGACACTCTGAGGTGGGGCATAGTTGTTTCCTTACGCGGAAACTGAAATAATGCAATGTGTGAACCGAGCGCCAGTCCTTTGCATTTTATAATGACTTTATTACAGGCTCTGCATGTGTGCTGTTGTTACAGCAGAGACAATATAGAAATGAAATGGTCAACACAGCTGATATTTTGACATCTTTAAAGTCTTAAGGAGATCCACTTGCAAGTGTAACCCTCTGTATGATAAAAGTCAGTTTAATGATCTTCTTTAAATCCTTTTCTTTTTAAAACGATTGCATTTTTTAACAGTATTTACTTGCATCTTTACAGTAGAGGCCATAATATCAGTTCCTGGAAGCCTAACGTCTTCTGGTATTTGTAACAAGTAACCAATTAAATATTATCCTATTTATTTTCTTAGGTGCATAAGAATAGGTGCATAGAATATGTCCTATTGTAAAAATAATTACTCAAAACATTAACCTTCAAATCGACAGATGACGTAAAACACGTTGGAGCCTGATCAAAAGTATTACGGCTCTGTGATAAATTAAATTGGAGCAAATCAGAGAGCTCAGGTGGAAAAAAGTCCAGCAGGCCCTAGAACTGAGTGAGAGTCCCCTACAGTAGAGACAACCCTGTGTCTCCTGTTGAACTGGTGGAGTCAGTTTTGCCCAAATTGCCACGTCTACATTGCCTTTCCCTTTTTGAAACATGATCGTTTGTATTGTTTTTTCAACTTTTTTGTCATACTGTCATACAGGTTTTCCCAGTTCTGGTCTCCTGGGTGGAATATCCAGCTCGTTTTCTATGTATGAGTAGCTCTCTAACTAGGAGGTACTGTAGGGTCCTATCGCCCCAGTTAAGGTCAGACTAGACCAGTTTGTCCCTTCACAGCCTTAGGCTGTTGACCATTTAAAAGAAGGCAAGAACCCTGCTGGGTTTAGGACCCTGAGGTACGGGGGGTGGGGGGACTCCGGCTGCCATGTGTCTTAGTTCTGATCCAGGGTCATGACTTTCTGTTTTGTCGGCTGCTGTAAAAGACACAAAGCAGCAATGCCACTGCTGTAAATGCACAACCAGGATGCACAGTCAATTTTATGCAATACTGTTCAGAACTCTGGAGTCATTATGTACAGTGGAGCTGATGAAGAGAATAACATTGCCATTTTTTCTTCAGTTTCAATACTGGATTCAATCGTTCTTTTGCATTCCTTGAATATGTATGACTGCATCCTGTTTACTGCTGTGATTATTGATGTTTAAGTTTCTGTTTTTCCTGGAAAGATGGACAGCTGGTGAGAGTGTGTATCTTAACAGAGCAAAACCTTCTTCTATGTGGAAGTGCATTTGGATCTGAGCCAATGAGAGCTCTTTACCCAAAGGTTTGTAGGAGTATAGGACAATTCACCTTGTCATGTTGCTGAAGCCAGTACAGTCCTCTTGTTTGTGGTCTATTGTCCTTGTGTTCCCTTTATATTAAATGCATTGGATACTCTGGACACACACTTACATTTCTGTACTTGTCATCACAGTGCTGAGGGAACTTCCTAACCATTGTCTGTAATACGTTTAGATGACACTAGTAGAAGCTGAGCATTACAAAGATGATATTCACTAAAGAATTTCCACCAATAATGTCCCATATACAGTGTCCATTTCCTTGTGTCTCTTCTGAAGGCTTTAGAATAATTCATTATGGAAGTAGCAGTTCTGTGAATCCGCATTCAAGTAATGTTCAACTGATTTATCAGGCATAATACACACGCACTCTCCCCAGTTGCACAGCCTTCCTAATTCAGGAACCCATTTAGCTGTTGTCACTCTTACAAAACTGCCTACTGAGTGTCTGTGGTATGTGATAAAGGAACGTTCCTCTTGTTCAGGGATGCAGAGATCTTTGTGTGTTTTATCTTGTAGTAGCTCTGTCGACGAGCCATTGAACTTGATGTATGTAACACTGTAGCACTCTGGAGCTTTTGGCACTGTCAATACATATTCATGACGAGTGTCTGGAAGGTACAGTATAGAGCACCCAGGGAGTCATTCTTCACAGAATGCCGTGTTTCTTTTAATGAAATTGGCAAGAGTAGCCTTTGGCTGCTTGAGGAAGAGGGTTTTTGAGGACATCAAAACTGAAACTTAACTGCCAATCTATGGCACATTCATCATGCCTTAATGTACAGGGCTAAATCGTGGACATGATCCTATGGGAACCCATAAAAGGACTGGAGTTATTTCGCTTGTGCTGTTTGTGGAAGACTTTGCATTTCTAGTGGGAGAGCAGATGCACCAACATCACTCTTCTCCCACAAGAAGAACCACAAGCACTGAATCATCCGCCATCACCTCTGTTGAGTTGGTTATGGCGTCCATGTGTCAAACACCTTACTCCAGAAGGTCTTCTTCGCTGAGCTTAGCTAAGGTAATCGAAACCAGGAGACATGTTTCAGAGGCAGGGTGAAAGCCATCATGAAGAACTGCAACATCAGTATAAACCCCTGGAAGCTGTGGCCCTTGACTGAACCAGAGGGCGTAGAAGAACAGCTGGGAACAAGTCCAGCACTTTGAGACACAGAAGCAAAGCAATAAAGTTGAAGAGAGCTCACCATGACAAGCTTGCACAGTACATGACCAGATATCTCTCGAGACAACACCTGCTAACCCTGCCAGCGAGTGTACCGGTTGGTTGCATGTGGGTGTTATGACTTGAGATCGAGTTCATGGTGGGTCATAATTGTTAGCCTGTGAAATGACTCTAAAACAATAAAGGGTTGAAGCAGATGTAACTTTCTCAATGCTCTTTTGTGTTGGAGGTTTTCAGGGCGCAGACTGGACAGTTTCTTGTCACCTATGAAGCATACCTCTAGAGCACTCAAGATGTAAGAGAAGTTAATGGGGAAAAATGGTCCATTCTGCCCCTGCATCTATTTTGGTATTACAAGAGATTTTTATAGGATAAAGGTTGATTTACATGTACAATCAAGAAAAAGAGAAAGACAATCAAGTGCAGAAAGTGAAAGAAACACAGAGATGGAGGTGGCCTGCATTTCACAGCAGGTCCAACCAGTTCAGGTTTTAGAGTCGGAGCAGGCAGCACGAGGCCTTTGCTGGTTCATGCTTGAAACCTTGTTTTAGGAAATATACATACGGGGACACAGATGAGTTAAATCATTCGCTGTCTTCTCCATTTGGACAGTTTGTGCAGACCTGCATTTCGTTGTGAAACCAGATTACCATGCTATCAGTAAATTGATTTCTTCTCCTGCATGTCAGTCCACTGTGTGGCATTAACCCATTTGCTTTGCACCACTAAAATGGATTCCTTGATCCTGTGTCTGGGTTGTGTCATCATCAGCTCATCATCACGAGTTAAAAACCATTCATTCTTGAAACTTGAATAACCCTGGCCTCCTTTTCTATGGGTGTGTTTGCCTAGCCTACTTTTCTATGGGTGTGATTGCCGTGCCTTAGGACTGATTCTGGAATTTGGACAAACTAGTTTCAACTGTTGTTCATGCTATTCTATGCAACAAAGCAGATATGATTCCCTTCCTGACAAAGGAATATAAATGTATTTGCACTATATGACTTGCGTGCCTCTGTATATCTTGATGACGTGGTAAGTAATCATCTGCAGTAAAAAGTGAAATCACAAATGGACCATTGCCTGTGTTTCCATAAGAAGTCTGTGCCTTTATTATTTTTAGCTTACTCATACATATGTACATACGATGCCTTTATACACAGTGGGTATGGAAAAGATTGACCCCCATCTTTGTCCTTGACCACATTAGGCTATGTTACAGTCTCAAATTGCAACACATTTGAACAGGATTTTGTTTTGTGTGTGATTAACAAAATATAGTTAACAGTTTGTTGGGGAATAAGCATTTTTATTGTAAAAGAAAACTGTATGAAAAATAGAAAAATCCAGTTTGTGCAGGTATTGTATTCAGCTCCCTGAGACTGAAGCAGCATTTACAACCTTAAACGCACCTGTGTAATACTGTATGTTGAAACCAGCCTTTCGCATCATGTGGGTTTAATTTTCGCACACTCTTCCTTACAACATTGCTCCAGCTGTTGCAGGTTACTGGGGGAGTGGTGGTGACCAGCAACCCTCAGCTCCTGCCACAGGGTTTCAATGGTACTTAATCTGGACTTTGACTGGGACACTCAAGGACTTCCACCTTCTTTTAAACGATTCAGGGCTTGCTTTGCCTTTGAGGAAAGGGTCATTTTCCTGTCGAAATATGAATCTGTGTCCCAGTTTCAGGGACTTCTCCTACTTGTGTTAAAGTGCTGTGGGATCTTTTGGGATGAGACCGATGACGTACAGTAACATTCAATTAAGACATGATTTTGATTTTTTTCAAAAATCCAGCTTCCAAGAAATCCCTTTAAATGAGGATCTCTAGTTTAGATTTAGATAAATCAAG